AAAAGACCAATACTTGCATTAAGCGTTCACCCTATAATAAACGTCGTGCATGCATAGAGCTTTGAAAGTCGTTACACAAAAGGAAGGGTTTGCAGGTGACATACGATCACACTCTTCGGGTTTGTGTGTTTGTAGCTGGATTTACTCGGCTGAATCCGGAGGATCGATCAAATTGATGTGCGTCTGTGGTGATGTTCACGAGATTGCCACGGTGAATGCATGTCGTGTGATACTGTGCGTTTTCTGTAACCCAAGATGTTCAATGAACGATCGACTCTTTTTCCATCTTTGACGAAAAGGAGTGACAGAAGAAAGATTTTCGGTCGTCGATAACCTCATGGATTGGCGGAGTGAATGACGAACTGAGGGTGAATGCCCGTGGGGTCAAGGAATAAACTTATTACCGGCACTGATTGATATTCCAGAAGGGAGAAAAATAGGAAATGTTGACTTCACGCGGAACCATTGATAGATTTTCCGAGCATACAGAATAATAGCATCCATCGATAATATATACAATTGTCTTATTCTGGGATACTCGCGATCGTACTATTTGCATAATAACAGATGAACTTAATTAGTAGTGGTGGTATAGGTTGTGTCATGGAAACATGATCGAACAAACTGCAGCTCTTTCCATCCGGAAGACTCGTGTCACCATTATAAATCAACGATCTCGTTTAGTACATTTCTTTTTTACTTACGCTATTGTATTACCCTTATACGATAGCGTAATATGATCACGACTGTCGATCACGAGTTAAATCCAGAGTGTAGTGGTAACCCTTTACACCACATGAAACCGATAAGTATGTTTGTACCACCAACACGTACATACGTGTGCTTACATAATCCATCACACAAACAACCAAAAAAACAAGAATCCACAGATTCTACACCTACCACTACGTATCTCTTACGTATTTGCGATTTGCGGATACTCGATTAAGAGCCTTCAATGGCTTCTATCACACACTCATCTGAAAAAAATTGTGATCACCATCATCTTTTCCAGAATAGCACCGCTAAATCTCCGCGAATGATCAATGAACGATCGACGAGATTTTAGAGAATGATTATTATTTGTTTATTACTATGGTTATAAATTGCTCTTTTTATGCGAGCGTTTTATGTGATGCGTAATTGTCGAGAGGGGATCAATCAATCAAATTCCTTAAAACATGCCGAAAATCGGCTGTTGTTTGTGGCTGAATAACAGAATCGTTGTTCTCCAAGAAAGTTAAGTTTGA